GAATAATTTAGATTATGATTCATTTATGTTTCTTGTTTTCTTGTAATTTATGTTATGTTTCATTTAGCTTTCTTGTTTTCTTGTAATAAAAGTATTATTGCTATGAATGAATTTCATTTTATTAAGTATTTATTTTAATACATTCTCTTTCTTTTGTTAAAGAATATGGATATTTCCTTTTCTTTCATTAGACATAAGAATAAAGATATATATATCTCGTGGATAGTGCTACAACACACACCATATTTAAAGATAAAAAATATTTTACTTGTTTAATAATAAGAGATGGAAGTGTTAATACCATAGCGGGTAATACTAAATTAATCGATGGCTCCAGAAGAGCAATTATAATATTACCCAAAGGAACAAAAAATATTATAGATGATGCATTATATTCATCTAAGTCTTAAAGAAATTTATTAAAGCTTTAAAGATATCCGCCGAAATGCGTATTATATTGAGACTACAAATGAGAAAGATATTGAATATCTACATATTACAGATTTTAGATTTAGAAAGAAATGTGTCCTAGAGAAATCATTCACATTATCTTCTAGTTTATACTACACAACTATTAGTACATTTGAAATAAATGCAATAGTCAATAAGAAGTTTACCAATCAAGATATATTTATCGTTTGGCATGACCAGTTAAGCCATCCCGATTCAACTATGATGCAAAGAATTATTAAAAATTCACATAGACATCTATTGAAGAACCAGAAGATTCTTCAATTTAAGGAGTTTTCATGTGCTGCTTGCTCTTAAGGAAAATCAATTAAAAGACTTTTAATTGCGAAAGTAAGAATTGAATCTCCCGCTTTCCTTGAACGTATCCAAGGGGATATATATAGACCTATTCATCTATCCTGTGGACCATTTAGATATTTTATGGTTATAATAGATGTATCTGCAAGATGGTCATATGTGTGTTTGTTATCAACACATAATTTAGCATTTGCTAGATTACTTGCCCAGATAATTTGATTAAGAGCACAGTTTTCAGATTATGCAATTAAGACAATTTGTCTTGATAATGCAAGTGAATTTGTCTTGATAATGCATGTGAATTTTCATCACAAATTTTTAATGAATATTGTATATCAACTGGAATAACAGTTGAAAAATTTGTTGCTTATGGCCACACTCAAAATAATTTAGCAGAATCATTTATTAAATGCCTCCAATTAATAGCTAGACCAATGCTCTTAAGGATAAAACTTCTTATTTCCGTATGGGACATGAGATTTTACATGCAACAGCACTTGTGCGCATCAGGCCAACAAGTTATCATAAATTTTTCCTGTTACAATTCGCTTTTGGTCAAAAGCTAAATATTTCCCATCTTAGAATTTTTGTATCTGTGGTGTTTGTTCCTATTGCTCCACCACAACGCACAAAGATGGGACCTCAAAGAAGGTTGGAAATATATGTTGGTTTTGAATCTCCTTCTATAATCAAGTATGTAGAACCATTAACTGGAGATTTATTCACGGCATGTTTTGACGATTGCCATTTTGATGAAACAATTTTCCCAACATTAGGGGGAGAAAATAATCAGTTGGAGAAAGAAATTACATGAAATGAATTATTATTATCTCATCTAGATCTTCGTATAAAGCAATGTGAACTTGAAGTTAAAAGAATAATTCATCTGCAAAATATTACAAATCAATTGTTAGATGCATTTACAGACTTTAAAAGAATTACCAAATCTTATATTCCAGCTGAAAATGCTCCTATTAGAATTGATGTCCCAATAAAGACAATTAGAAAGTGCAAATGAATCTAAGCCACTTCTGAAACGTGGTAGACCAATTGGTTTTAAAGATAAAATTTCTAGAAAGAAGAAAGGAACACAAAATAAAGATGGTATTGTAAAGTAGGCTAGTACTCTAGAAGAGTATGGAGACATAACTAATCAAAATACGCCAGAAGAGGTCTATATACCTGAAGATAATAAAGAGATCTCGATAAGTTATGTCACCATAGGAAAAAGATGGAACCGAAAAAATATAATCGTTGATCACATATTTTCATATAATGTTGCTGTGGAAATAATGAATCAAAATGAGAATCTAGAACCAAAATCAGTTGAAGAATGTAGACATAGAAATGATTGGCCAAAATGAAAAGATGCAATTCGTGCAGAATTAAATTCACTTTCAAAATGTAAAGTTTTTGGAATTGTAATCCGAATACCTAATGGTGTAAAGCTAGTTGGATATAGATGGGTATTTATGCAAAAATGAAATGAGAAAAATGAAATCGTCAAATATAAAGCATGACTAGTAGCACAAGGATTTTCACAAAAACCTGGTACTGATTATGAAGAGACATATTCTCTTGTGGTGGATGCAATCACATTAACATATCTAATTAGTCTAGCAGTATACAAAAAACTTGAAATGCGCCTAATGGATGCTGTTACAGCCTATTTATATGGCTCTTTAGATATAGAAATTTATATGAAAATCCCTGAAAGATTCAAATTGCCAGAAGCATGTAAAAATTCTCGAGAAAAATATGCAATTCATTTGCATAAATCTTTGTATGGATTGAAAAAATCTGGACAGGTGTGGTATAATTGTCTCAGTGAATATTTGTTGAATGAAGGTTATAAAAATGATCCTATCTCTCCATGTGTTTTTATAAAGAGAAATAGGTCAGAATTTGTTATAATTACTGTCTATGTGGATGATTTAAATAAAATTGAAACTCCTGAAGAGCTCCAAAAAGCAGTTGATTATTTAAAGAAAGAATTTGAAATGAAAGATCTAGAAAGAACAAAATTTTGCCTCGGCTTACAAATTGAGCACTTAGCAAATAAAATTTTTCTTCATCAATTAACTTCTATTAAAAAAATATTAAAGCGATTTTAAATGGACAAAGCACATCCATTAACTATTCCAATGGTTGTAAGATCTCTTGATGAGAAAAAAGATTCTTTTCGTCCTCAAGAGAAAGATGAAAAACTTCTTGGTCCTGAAGTACCATATGTTAGTGCTATAGGTGCACTGATGTATCTTGCTAATTCAACAAGACCTGATATTACATCTGTTGTAAATTTATTAGCAAGATTTAGTTTTTCCCAAACAAAAGGGCATTGGCATGGAGTTAAACACCTATTTCGATATCTTTAAGGGACAATTGATATGGAATTATTTTATTCTAATGAATTTGGATCACAACTTATTGGTTATGCAGATGCAGGATTTCGATCAGATCCACATAAAGGTAGATCATAAATTGGATATTTGTTTACTTGTGGGGGTATAGTAATATCTTGGCATTTAACAAAACAAACTTTAGCTACTGCCTCATCAAATTATGCTGAAATAATTGCAATTCATGAAACAAGTAGAGAATATGTTTGGCTAAGGTTAGTGATCCATCATATTCAATAGATGTTTGGTTTATTGTTAGAAAAAAAGATTCCAACAATATTATTTGAGGAAAATATAGCGTGCATAGCTCAATTGAAAGGAGGATATATCAAAGGAGATAGAATAAAACATATTTCTCCAATTTTTTTTTTTCACTTGACCTTTGGAAGAGCGATGATATAGATGTTTAGCAAATTCGCTTATGTGATAATCTTATAGATTTGTTTATTAAGACACTATCAACTTCAACATTTGAGAAGTTAGTGTATGAAATTGGAATGCGCAGACTCAGAGACATAAAAAGATGATGTCATCATGGGGAATGGAGTGATATTGTTACCAGGGGGAGACTACGGGGAGTAAATATTATGTTGTACTCTTTTTCTCTTTTTAAGGTTTTGTCCCACTGAGTTTTCCTAGAAAAGTTTTTAATAAAGCAACATTAGTGAATATTTAAAATATTGTGTATTTTTTTTCTTTCACTAAGTTTTTATCCTATTGGGTTTTTCTTTGTAAGGTTTTGATGAGGCACAATGTTTGTTATGGACATCCAAAAGGGAGTATTATAAATATTATGTTATGGATATTCATAACTCATAGCCCTTAGAATTCATTTATCCTTAATGTTCTCATGAATAGGGGTGAGCAAAACCGAACCGAAATCGAAAATCGAACCGAATCGAATCGAATTTTGTCTATTTGATTCGGTCTATTTGATTTTTCGGTTCGATTCGGTTTTTTTATTTTAAATATTTCGGTTGATCGGTTTGATTCGATTAGTAAAATTTAAAATCGCATAGATCGAACCGACCGAATTACATATAATTTATTAATTTATAAATTATATTTAATTTATAAATTATTTTATTTTTATTTTTATTTTTTATTTTAATAAAGAATAAAAAATAATAACATCACTTGAAACCCCATTTCAATCACTCACTCTCATCAGTAGGTATTGTGACTGGATTATGAGGCTATTATTTGATCATCGGTGTTTATTTGTGGTTGTTTATTTGATTATCCATGCCTTTATAATATTTGAGCTTTATGTCATATGGGTATAATTAGAATGGGCTCATATTGAAAAAAACGAATAGAAAAAAAGGCCCAATTTTGTAGTGTTGTTTGTTTTAATATTTAAAAAATAGGCCCAAACCGAAAAACCGAATTAATCGACCGAACCGAATTATCAAATTTCGGTTCGATCCTTGTTCGGTTCGATTGGCTTGTTCGGTTCGATTCAGTTTTCATTTTTAGTGTTATTTGATCGATCGGTTCTGCATATTTTGAGACCGAACCGACCGATGCTCACCCCTACTCATGAATGGCATGGAAGGAGTTTCTAATCTTAATAGCTTATAACTTTCAAATGTTACATAATACACCATTATATATCTCATTATATCTTTGTAACATTAAGGTAGGACTTAAATGATTGGAAGCTTATAAATAAATGTCATGTCCAAAGCATATGGATACTAATAAATATGAATTCTCTTCTATTATTTTCTTTGCATTTCTTTTATTATTTTATCCTTTTTTACTTTTCATATTAACTATATTTTACAACAATAACTAATTAAAAATCATAAAAATTCTGGAAAAGAAAAACAAAGACTAGGAACAGGGTATTCCTAGGGTTATGGCCGAAAGAAGAAAAGCAAAGGGGTTTGCCGCATGAGAGAACATGGAGAAGACCAAGGGTTGAATGGAAAGCGATGGCGATCTTCCATGGAGAAGACGGTGACAATCTCTCATTGATTGTGGAGGGATCGATTTCATTTGCCAAAATATCTCTATCTCTCTCTTTGTTCAGAGTGAATAAAGCTTCCATGGTTTCGATGGATTAGTAACCTCGTGCAAGATGTTAGATGAGATCTTCCACCTTGAGAATGGGCACTCTAACCTCGCGCAACACTGTATTGTTTAAAATCCTGCTGCACGAGTATCGCACCCCCCTCCAGTCACTAGTTTGAAATTGTGAGTCTCTTTCCTTGCGTACACCTCCATCTAGATTCAAAGTTATGGAATAGGTTTTGTAATTATTATGCCGCTGGATATGTTTCATGCTGTTAAATTAAACTACATGTATTTTGCTTGGTGTGGTGTTTATTAAAATTGGTTGTCTCATGTCTCTTTAAAGCATGCTTATAAAGTGTTCGACAAAATGCTTGGGAGAGAGTTTTTTTAAGAAACCAGTTGGATTTCGTGGACATAAGTACTTAGTTACTAGTTCAAGAAATTTGGGCTGTTTTGGTTTGCGTTGATCTTTATAAGACTTTTCGAGAGTAAATTAAAGTGAATCATTTGGAGGTAAATATTATGCTTGTAACATACTAAATATTTCTCCTGGAAATAGTGACGTCTCGAAACTTCTAATGTTATTACTTAAACTAGTAGTTTTTTTGTTTTTTTTAATTTTTTTCCCTTAAATACATTTTCCATGTTATTTGTAGGATCCTTTAAAGTCAATGGTTCACCATTATATGATGCAGAGGCTTAGAAGATGCTAGGATGTGAAAGGGTTTCAGCTTTTAGGATGCAAGAGATGTTAGCAAGAAATCATGTATTTATAAGCAAATCTTGATTCCTATAATGGTTGAAGTATCGTTATATATGATAGGTAATTCTTTCACTTTATTTTTTTATTATGTTTTATTATTTGTTACATTTATAATTTTTTATTATTTTGATTTGACAGCTTCATGTTTTAAAATTTGATTTGGAACCATTGGAGTCCTGAGTTTGTCAGTGATGTCCTCTGTTTCCATAGTAATATGTAACAAGGCACTTATCAGTACACTGAGTTTTGTTGGTGCAGAGCTTTGAATTTTGAGGTATTTGAAGAAAAATTTAATGTAAGTTTTGGAATTATATATCACTTAATCAAGTGTGGTTTAGGGGGGTTAACTCAAATTCACTCAAACTCATCTAAAATGCCGAGCTAGATCATTATAATATTTGACTAGCAAGATATTTAGCTAGCTAATTGTAGGGTCAAGTAATCAATGATGGCTATGGCTTGTTCTTTTAACCCTTCTTTTCCTTCATCTATTCAAGAAAATTTGTACGTGATGGTACCTTATATATTCAAACTGTTTGTGGAAGCGCTAGAAAATTGGTTAGGCCTTTTCTTTTTTCTTTTTCTTTTTTGCAGCAAACAAGTTTACTTGCATTATGTGTAATATAGTTTGCAATTACTTGAAGTATTTTGTGGCTTCTTGTTTTGGTTCTGGAATGCCTTTTAGATGTTGAGTCAGACAATAGCTAATTAATTTAGCACTTGTCTTAATTTTTCTTTTGTATGATAGAAAGCAGGACGAACATTTGAACTGTCAAGATTTTAGTTGCCTATAATCAACATTTCTTCACTCAAGGTCATCTTTGAAAAGCAACGAACTTCTGGATCACCTTCAGTTGTAAGTTGAAAATTGCTAGAGCCTAAAACAAAGAGGCTTAATTTGAATTTATTAGAAATAAACTTATTTGGATTGCTTTGTAGTTCTAATAATACTTCTCAAGTTTCAACTAAACCTTGAGAGCAGCATGAAGTTGTATGACTCACAAAATGGGAAGCATGTGATAACTTGGATGCTTCTGAACTTATGATTTGGTGTGTTTACTGTGGCCACGTATTTGCAATCCTGATGCATTTTTCTTTTTCAAGTATTCAAGGTACAAATAACAATGTTATTATCAATCTCATTTTGAAGAACTCAGTCTTTCTCTGTAGAACTCAAGCTTGCAGTCAAAGGTAGCCTGGATCACTAGGACGTGAAGAGTGAAGACCATGATGCAAAAACAATTGATTCCTGGGTAATCTATTTGTATTAGCTGTCAATGTAATTTATATTTAATATATATTGATGTGAAGTTGGATTAATGTTTATTGTTTTGTTTATGTTACAGGGAATTTTCGTCAAGTTTATAGTGGTGTTTGTATTTTTTTTGAGTTTTATAGCTACCATTGCTTCTTCTTCTTCTTCTTCTTCTTTTTCATTTTAGGAAGAAGTGTTGGCTTAGAACTCTTCATGAAAAGAATTTTTTTCTTCTTAGGTTTAGTTTGAAGAATTTGCAGGGCAATGGTATCTTTTATTAGAAGGATGTTGTTTTTGGCAGAAGACCATGTAACATCTTTTATGAACTCTTATATGTTGTTTATTGTGTTTAACACAAATTATATACGTTTGAAGACAATATCTTGTTATGAAATTTTCTTTCTTACCATTAAATTGAATTTGTCATTAATTGAAAAATTTGAAAAAGATTAACATAATAGAGGAATGGAGAGAAAAATATTTTTTTTTTTAAAATATATATATATATATATATATGTATGTATGTATGTATGTATGTGTGTGTGTGTGTGTTTGAGACAGATTTAGAGGGGGAATAATCTACCTCAAAAGTATATGAATTATATATAATTATTTTAGAAATGGATTGAAATCTATCTCTAAATTTAGAGATGGATCTAGGGATGAATTTATCCCTCTCTGCATGATACAAGGCGATGGCTTTAAATTGAAATTAGAGACAAGTGAATTTCAATTTAGAGGTGAAATTATGTCGCCTCATATAAGAGACTAACAAAAATCTGTCTCTAATTATTTAATAACGTTACTTTTAGTGACATTTTGTATTTCATTTTTAAAGTCATCTCTAAATGGTTAGAGACGAATTTTAGGCCATTTAGAGACAAATTTTCAACCATCTCTGAATCCATTATTTTGTAGTACTCCCATCACAAGCCATTAACCCACTTTAAACCTTGGACCATGCTCAACGACCCACAATACAACTTTCCAATCCATTACACTCATTTAAATCATCATTAAACAAAAGGTCACAAGGGCGGGGAAAATAACAATTTTCATGAAATTGGTATAACCAGTACTAAGAACTCCAAATAAGTTTCATGAATCCAAAACACACTTGCATATATATTGGGCGCAAACAAAATAATTAAGACAACCCTAAGTAGACCAAATGCATCCAAAAATGCCCATTTCAAGTATATGGTTACATGCAAGTACTTAAAGACCCCTTAGTTGGCATATGTATGTCCATTCAACAAAAAGTAAATAATATTACAATCAAATACTCAATCTCTTGCCTCAAAGTAGGTATATGAGCATGCAAAATATGGGAATCTATGAGCATGCAAAGTAGGTATATTTCAAAACAATATTTATCAACAAGTACTCAATGCACCACCTTAGTCCTCTTCTTATTTCCTTTAATTTGACCAAATCCATGAGCTACATTTATGAATAAGACAAACCTGTGTGACTGGACTAAGAAAAACTCTTCAATCATGAGGAGTCACCTGATCAGAGGCTTTCACAGTTACTCTCAAACCATAGATTCCCCCTTTCTTGAATCTCTAGAGTGTCATAATGCACAACTTACTATCATGCCCCGAAAATTAAACGTGACTAGCACGAGTGTGAACCATTTCACACAATCCTGTAAGTCTAAAAATAAAAAGTCATTCTATTTTTTTTAAAAACATCAGATTTTATGGACATTCCAACACTTTTAATACTAATTGTCATAGTAAAGCTTCAATTTTTTGTAGAAATTTTGACATAACCTTCCCTGTAAATAGGATCTCTCAAAAATTCAACACAAAATTTTCACAGAATATAGTATCAATCATGAGTTTAGCTCGTTCTAGCCAGCAAATAGTATATAAATCAAAATAAAGGACCTAGCTATAAACTATGTGAAGCACCTAAAAATAAGTTTACAAAATAAAATTTCATAATCAAAACTTTACATCCAAAGAAAAAGCTTAATCCTTAGCTCCTCCACTTATAATTAGTAATAGACTCCTTAATATTCAGCAAGTAATTCAGTGTCAGTTACACTATCTGAGACCAAATTCATTTCCAATGAATAACATCCCAATAATAAATAATTAAATATGAATAAAAGGAAAGTTAAAAACAATTATGTAAGTTAAAGAGACAACTATCTTCATAAAAATTCAAATAAATTTAGCATAAAAGGATTCCATATAACTTTAAATGAAATCTTGAACTATTAAATTATCATATCAAATATATTAATCACTTAATTTCAAGGAAGCAAATAAACGAAATAAGTAATTATAAATAAATTACTAATTAAAAATAATAGGAATAAAATCATTAAATAATCAAATTCATATTTATAGGAACTTATCAGAACATTTAACAAACTTGAATACACAATTCATGAGAGTAAAAAACCAACTGCGGCTTATGTCATGAAGACAAACGTGGACACATAGTCCATGAGAATAAGTAATCGGACGAGGCTGAAGCTATGAAACAAACATGAACACATAGTCTATGATGGTAACTAACCAGACATGATTGAAGTCACGAAATAGATATAGGTATGAGATCCATAAATAACAAATGTGAGAATAAAAATCAAACTAGCTAGTAATTGACCATGGCACACTAAGGGCTAATGGGATTCCCATTAGCAACCAGTGTTCTATATAAAGTCCTTTTTTTAAACCCAAGTTCAGACATGCAAGAAAATATTCACCATTAAAATAAAATTTTAATTTTCAATGTCAAACTCGCATGAATCATTTTTTTGTAGCAATTCAGTAATTTTCGTAATGAAATCCCATAATTAAAATCCAAACTTGTATTTATTGATTAACTAAATGATCAAATATGGTAAAATAATTTCACAAAATAAAGTAATTTAATTAATAAAATAGCCAAAAATCAAATTGTTGTTATTAACATAATTTGCATAAAAATCTAATATTCTAGTAAAGTAAATTTTGTTGGAAAATTAGTTGGGATGCTATTCACTTACCTGAAATTCTCAAAATTCAAAATTTCCCTCAACTTTGATTACATTTTTCCTTTTCCAAACACCCTCAAGTGTTCGACGAAACACGCATAGCAAAGGGAAGAGCACATTCTAACACGGAATAGGGGAAGAAGAAGCTAGCATCAATTTAGCCTCTAATCCATAAATCAATTATTTACTTGCTTATCATTCACAAACAAAAATAATAGAGAAAGAAAGATGTTCAGGAACAAGAAACAAAGAAAACACAGGCTACGAGAATGGAGGACCAACAACGGTGAATGCATAGCAGCTCATCTCTCTCTGATCGATGGTAACCAGGAATGAAGAAGGAAGAGAAGAGGTCGGAGATGGCAGAGGGAACGAAGATCAATATTAGACACAAGGTAACAGACCCACAACTAGCACCTCAAGATGATAGATCACGGTGGGCTAAAAAATGGGACGAATGGAGAGATCTTCACAAACATACAATAGCAAATCAACAAGCTCCACTACCTGTCAATGGTGGATGGTCGAAGCAACATCAATCACGCTCACTGGCGGTGGTTGAAAATGAAAGGAAAGAAGACAAAGATCATATAACATTAAATTGCATTCAACCACTTCAATAACATCATATAACATATCCACACACTTTAGAATATTTTCTAAAACATAAACATGTAAATTTCATACTGAAATACATTTTAGACATTTCACAACACTTATAATCACATACAACAAACATATACAAGAGTTTAAGTTTCCAATTACCTTAATTGTTGATTTACCAACCAAGAGTACTTATATCAATCAAATTGAGCCTCTAACAAGCCTAAGAGTACCAATGCAGGATTAATAAACATTCACACATATCAATTATTATCAATGATCAATTATCATCAATTTCTTTTAATCAAAGTCATAACTCCAAACTCATATTGTGGTCATTAACCACAACTAAACCCTACAACTCCCATTAACTTAGTTAGACTTACATTAGTCTAGCATACACAACCAAATTGTCATTAGCTTAACTATTTAACTCTAAGTTTCATTGAAAACCCATCATTAAAACCCTAAACCACCATTAACAACCTAACTCATTGGTTAGATACTTAAATAAAAAATATCTAACCTCCTATAACTCCATTAATGTTAGAAAATTCGATAGAACCTTTACCCGTTTCGAATTCCATCATGGACTCTCCTAAGACTCAAGCAAAACCATGTAGAAAGGTAGAGAAGAGAGGTTTGTAACATACCCAAGTGATTTCAAGCTCCTAGTGTCATCAAATGACCTCCAAGATAAAGCCCTACTAGAGCCACCATGCCTCTTTGTTGAATCCTCTCTATTTGTTTCTATTTTACTTTTGACTCATGAATATGATATTTCAATTTACTACACGTTTGCCATGGTGCATTGCATATCTGCAACATTCAATGAGGAATTTAAATGACAATAAATGCTACTACAAAATTAGACATAAATGATAGTTATTTTTGCCTGATAATTTTGAAATGTTATTTATTTGTTTGTCATTTAAAGTCTTCCCAATAAATATATAACCATCATTTAAATAAATATATATATATATATATACACCATCTTTCTTGCAATGTAGGAGAGAATAAATGACGAGTGTTTTAAATACTCATAATTTATTCCTAGCATAAATGACAGGTAAATAATTTACCCATCATTTATAGTGATAATAAATCATAGGTAAATAATTTACTCATAATTTATTGTTAAATAAACTACGGTTATTTAAATAATCATAATTTATTCTATGATTTTTTTTAAATAGTGGGCTATTATTTATAGTAGCCCCTTGCAACAACTGTGCAAAGTGATGCCTAGCATATTGCCATTCCAACATTTATGATATGAATACCAATTGATTTGTATTGTAATCAATTGCAAAATGAATAAAAAATGCATCTCTTATTCTAATCTATCAAGTAAATAATGTATAGAATTTTCTAAAATAAACTAGCCAGTAAAACTATAACACTAATCATACTTCCATTAACTCTATTAATTTTTTTCTCGGTGCAAGGAACACATTTGGAACATGTACTAGCACCACTTTTTAATTATCTCATTTATTTGCGCATTCTTAAATTCTTCAATGTAAGAATCCTCATAATACTATAATATATATAAATGATCTGCTTTAAATTAGTTTGAATACATTAAATTCATTAGCAATTATAAAGTGAACATTGTTGACATAAAAAATTATTAATTATTCTAACTATCTTACATTTAGCATAAAAAGTTTTTCGAACTTCATCCTTTATTAAGAACTAAAAGAGTGCTTTTATAATATATTTTCTCTCACTAACATTCAATGGAAAGTAAAAAAAAAAATTTGTAAAGAAAAATTAATGGCATGACTTATAAATAGGATAAAAAAATTTC